CAGACTGAAGAAGTCTCTTGGAGGAGAGACGAAACGTTTCATTAGAGAAGAACCCGTCCAGAGGACATATACAAAAAATTTTTTTTCCTTTTTAATTTTTTACCTGGATTACTGAGATGCATCAGGACATAACTGGCACTGAGATTTGGAAAACCGATCATGGGGCACCACCTGAAATCTTGCCCAGGGTGCSACGCAGGTCAAAGCCAGCCCTGCTGACAGCCACAGCCCAACCTTTAAAACCAAGTCCTGTATCTTAAGAACAATCTGATTTTGGAAAAAATAGTGAAGTGGGGAGAGACGTCTTTGAAGAAGAAGATGAAAGTGGAATGATGGTGGCTTCCTTTAAAGGATAAATGTTTTATCTAAGTACAAATTTAGAACGGATATTCTCAGCATGTGAAACATGAACATGTTAACAAACAGTCCACTGATCTAATGAGTTAGCAATCTGCAGTCAGACGTTGAAAAGCTGTAAGATACAGCCTTTCAGAGCCTTTGAGACACATAAAAATAAATAAAAACTTCTCAAACCATAAGTTAAAAAAGGTTTCAGATGAATAGAAATGAAGAAAATGTGTTTTTAAATTCTTTTTTCCCCCTTTTGGAGTACTTTATCCATAACAACTAACAAGTATTAATTACTGGATAAGTTTAGCTGTCGGCAGTTTAAACTCACCTTCCTAACTGTGACCAGGATTCGTCCATAAGAGTAGACCATGAGCAGGAGGGGCAGCATCAAGCAGAAGAAGAAGAGACACAACACGTACGACACACTGGTGGGCGAGCGCAGGTGCCACTGGACTGAGCAGGTGGTGCCGGGACCCTCCAGCCCGTAGCTGCTCCAACCCAGGAAGGGGGGCAGCGTCCAAAGGAGCGAGTACAGCCAGGTGCCCCCCACGCAGAGCCAGGCCTTCCTGAAGTCTGACACGTCCACCTGGGAGGAGTGCAGCACCGTGTTGTAGCGCTCGTAGGACAGGATGGACAGGGACACCAGGGACACGATACCTTAGGAAGCAATGAAACGTAAGATTTGTGTTTGATATATTATTTATTGATAATAAATATTATACTGATGGAAAGCCTGTTAAATTCCCTTTTAAATGTCAGTCCGTCCGTTTTCTTCCACTTATCCGGGGTCGGGTCGCAGGGGCAGCAGCCTCAGCAGAGAGACCCAGACTTCCCTCTCCCCAGCCACTTGGGCCAGCTCATCCGGAGGAGTCCCAAGGTGTTCCCAGGCCAGCAGAGAACAGTCCCTCCAGCATGTCCTGGGTCTCCTCCCAGTGGGACATGCCTGGAACACCTCACCAGGGAGGCGTCCAAGAGGCATCCTAACCAGCTGCCGGAGCCACCTCAACTGGCTCCTCTCGACGTGGAGGAGCAGCGGCTTTACTCTGAGTCCCTCCTGGATGACTGAGCTTCTCACCCTATGAGAGCCCAGACACCCTGCGGAGGAAACTCATTTCAGCCGCTTGTATCCGTGATCTCGTTCTTTCGGTCACTACCCAAAGCTCGTGACCATAGATGAGGGTAGGAACGTAGACCGACCGGAAAACCGAGAGCTGAGCCAGAACTTCACCATGACAGACCGGTACAACGCCCGCATCACTGCAGACGCAGCACCAATCCGCCTGTCCATCTCCCGCTCCATTCTTCCCTTACCTCCCTTTTAAATGGTGCCACATTAATAAGGAACATAAATTTGAGGATCACTAGAGCTGAGCTGACAGAGAGGATTTGGCCAGTTTGTTCTTGTTTCCAGCTGTCTTCAAAGAGCACGTGATTTCTCTCTTTGAGTTCAGTGCAGAATTCAGCTGAAGTCAGTAAACTGTTTTAAATGACAGTAAAAAAATACTTTTTAC